CTTGTTGCAATTTATATTCCACCAAACTCTAACCCTTCGCTTTACTTCAAACATTCTTCATTATTGCTCTCTTTATTTGCCATGGTCAAGCCCTCCTATTCGATTGTTGTGTTGGGTGATTTTAATCTAGCGTGTGTTTCCTGACATTCGGTGGATGGAATTCTGGTGCCAAATTCTTCTCGGGATGTACTTAACCAATTTCTTAACGAGCTTTCCGATCTTGGTCTATATCAGGTTAATTCAGTTATCAACAACTTAGGTAAATGTCTTGATTAAGCGTTTATTGATGATACTGCTAAATGCACTATAATACGCGGCGATCCTTTAGTTATACCTAAAGACCCTTATCACCCAACACTTGAATTGTCATTGGCACCATCCTACGATTCATGTTATTGTCCTGAAACTAGAAAGCCGAAAGGTCGGCGTTATTCTTTCAAATACGCTAACTACGACAAGCTTAAAATAGCTATATCTGAAATAATCCGGCCTGAGTACGATGGATATGTTGAGAACAGTGCCTTACACTTTAGTAAAATCTTGAATAATACATTCAGTAAACTCATTCCTCTTGTTAAAGAAAATACCGGACCTCGTAACTCGTTGTGGTTTAACCCACAGCTAAAGCATTTAAAAAATCAGAAAATAAATAATTTAAACTTTATAAAAAATCAGGCTTGTCTTCTCACTACGCCGCGTACCGAATCCTTCGTCATAAATACAATGCCTTAAACAGAAAATGTTACAGGAATTACATTAATGAAACTCGCATTAACATCGTTTCTAATCCCAAGTCATTTTATCATTTTGTTAACTCAAAACGTAAAATAAATGTGTTTACCTCAACACTGAAATTAGATGATGTTATTTCTAGTGATGATAATATGTTTGCAAATTATTTTGAATCGAACTATTCTCTCGAGCCAAATGAAAAAACTTCTAGCTATCCTTTTCCACTCCCACAGTTTGACCACATCCGTATTCCTCCAATCTCCGCTGACAATGTTCTCCTTCATTTGAATAGTTTAAAAAACTCTTTTCTAAGCGGCCCGGATGGTATTCCCTCCTGTGTCCTAATAAGTTGTGCTGATTATCTATATAAGCCATTAACAAACATCTTCAATGCTTCTCTAGAGCAAGGAGTTTTCCCCTCTTTGTGGAAGCAGTCGTATATCTTGCCGCTTTATAAAAATGGAAGCAGGTCGAATATTGCGAATTATAGGGGAATCGCTAAGCTGTGTGCCATTCCTAAATTATTTGAAGAAATCGTTACGGAAGAACTATCTTATTCCATAACACCCGTTATCGATGTATCACAACACGGCTTTTGTAAAGGTAAATCAACTGTATCAAACCTGCTTGAACTCACTACAAATGTGAACAATGGTTTCAAAAGTAATTATCAAACTGACGTCATTTACACTGATTTCAGCAAGGCTTTTGATAAAGTATCTCATTCAACTCTAATATACAAACTTGATAAAATTGGTTTCCCTCCAATCCTGCTGCGCTGGCTTTCTTCTTATTTCATTGGCAGGAAACAGAGGGTTGAGGGAGATGAACAGGGAACAATTACAGGTGGACCTTAGTAATGTGTTTAAATGGTGCGAAGAAAATTCTATGTCACTTAACTTGAAAAAATTTTAAATTGTAAATTTATGTGTTTCTCTAGAAAACCCTTTCAATCATATAGCTACCGCATTTGTGAACATAGTGTTGATCAGGTAACTAATTTCATCGATCTAGGCGTAACCATGGACTCTAAGCTTGAATTCAAGTCTCATGTAAACTCTTGTGTTAATAGAGCCAAGGGCGTCTTGGCTTTCATCAAACGTTGGGCTAAAGCATTCAGAGATCCTTGCCACTAAAGCTCTCTTCACCTCCCTAGTTAGACCGATCTTAGAATACGGGGCCGTCGTATGGAACCCTAGATATCAAACGCACTCTGACAGACTCGAGTCGGTACAGAAACAGTTCTTATTATTCGCATTAAATAATTTGCCTTGGGATTCGACATTAAATCTCCCACCGTACAAATGCCGCTTAAAGCTCATAAATTTGCCAACGCTGCACAGCCGTAGAGAGATGCTCGGGGTTTTGTTCATGATTAATATCTTGAACGGGATGGTCAAGAGTCCCTTTCTACTGAACCAGGTCACGTTTTGTATTCCTTCTAGGCCTTCTAGACATTACAAGCCCGTTAAGCTAACTATTTGTAGAACAAATTTTGAAATGCATGATTCTTTTCGTTGCCTATGCCAGGACTTTAATAAGTATTACGACTATTTTGACACCTCCGACTCACATTTTACCATTAAGAAAACCCTACTTGAGATTTTGAATAAATAACATGTGAACCCTATCATTGCACCTTATCGTTCAGCTGGTGAACTGTATTTCTGTTCAGTTTATGAGGTAAACGTAAAAGTGAATCGCTTTTTTGTAACTAAATAAATTATATCTTTAACCGGGAACGATAAATTAAACAATGTCTATGACTGCTTAGTACAACTGTAATCGGCTTCGTATACCGCGTACGAGCATGGATCGGAAACTCGGCCTTTCCGACAATGATCAACAGCTTGTCCACAGCGCGGAGCGGAAACTAGAGCTTTCCGCCTGCCACACACTCAAAGTAATGACTACGGGGACATGGATCGGAAACTCGTTCTTTCCGACCATGCTGAACAGCTTGTACACAGTGCGGAGCGGAAACTAGAGCTTTCCGCCTGCCACACATTCAAAGTAATGACTTCGAGAACATGGATCGGAAACTCGTTCTTTCCGACCATGTTCAACAGCTTGTTCATAACGCATAGCGGAGACCAGAGCTTTCCGCCTGCCACACATACAAAGTAATGTCTTCGGGAACATGGATCGGAAACCCGGCCTTACCGACCTTGATCAACAGCCTGTCCGCAGCGCGGAGCGGAAACAGGGTCTTTCCGCCCGCCGCACACAAAAGTAGACTGAAGACTAGGCCTCGCCAGCGACCAAACCTGCTTTTTTTTTTTTTCGTAGAGGGAAATGCTTTATGCACTGGCCGGGGGCGCTAGTCTCTAACTCAGGCTTCATCCATCGCTTGCGATGATGTGTGGAACTTTTTCATCACTATTTTGTATCCCTGGCCCCAGGGATCGCGATCCACTTCGTCACGTGCTTTCCAGCAGTTCCGTTTACTCTTCTGTATCTCGGCCCCAAGTGCTTTCTTAGCGCTTTTGTAGGCTGCTGCTCTGGTCAGCGCCTCAGGTCTGCCACGAGCGCGCGTTGCGAGTCTCCGCATTCTATGGCAGGCCCTTCGCAGCTCTGCAAATCGGTCATTCCACCAGTATACCTGCTTTTTACCTGACCATGCTCTCCTCTGTGGCATTAAGGCTTGGCATGCACGGTGAATGCAGCGCATGGTTTCTTCGACCAGCTTAGTGCAAGACTCCCTGTTGTGGATCTCTCCCGTTGTGGGTGAAATACCTTGGCAATCTGCTAGGAGCGATGTATCGTACTTACGAACATCGACCCTGGACGGGTTCCATCCTGATTTCCTGCGAGGGATACTACGTGTTTGCCCTCGCGTTGTGTCAGTGACTGGAAGGTGATGTAGTTGTGGTCGCTACCACTCAGGTCTTCCATCACTCTCCATCCGTCGGCCCTTCGAATAAGGCTTTCCGAGACCAGGGTTATATCAGGGATAGAGTATCCAAAACCCGGCCTTCGTTATGTAGGGGTCGATCCGGTGTTGAAGATGGTCAGGCCAATGCGGGCTGCCATTTCAAGGACCAGTCTTTTCCTGGTGTTTGTTTGGGGCATACCCCATTCCACGCCTCTTATTATTATTATTATTCTTATTATCACTACATATTATAAAACAAAATCACTTTTTCTGTCCCTATGTCCCCTTAAATGCTTAAATCTTGAAAACTAAGCAACGGATTTTGATGCGGTTTTTTTTTAATAGATAGATTGGTTGAAGAGGAAGGTTTATGTCATTATAATGTGAAGAAATATATAAAGGGGGCGTTGCAATCGGACAAAATGTGGTAAAAACCCATAAATTTTTTGTTTACACAGCCATAAATCATAAAAGAATCCACCGATTAAAATGAAGCTTACTTGAAGTTAAACTTTGAAATATTTACTTTCGTTCTGCATCAAAAAAAATAGTTGATTCATATCTTATTTAACCAAAATTGTTTAAACAAAAGCAGCACTTTTTCCAAAAAAAGCTGTTTGTGTGTTTGTTCGCTGTCAACCGAATGAAACATTAGAAGTTATGCGGGAATCTCATCTCATACTCTTGAAAGAGCTATTCTGTCACCAACTAACGAACAAGTAGATAAAGTAAATAACTTGATTCTTTCAAAGGTTAATGCGCCGACGAAAATATACTACTCGGTCGATACTGTTCTCGATTTGGAAGAAGCTGTTCATTTTCCTACAGAATTTCTAAACTCTTTGAACCCGTCTGGACTCCCTCCTCACAAAATGGTGTTGAAAGTAGGTTGTCCTGTTATTTTATTAAGAAACCTGAATCCACCTAAACTTTGCAATGGCACGCGTTTGCTGGTAAAATCACTGAAAACTTTCATAATAGAGTGCACAATACTCACAGGATGTGGTACCGGAGAAGATGTATTGATTCCCCGAATCCCTATGATACCATCGGATTTACCATTCCAATTTAAACGTTTACAATTTTCGGTAAAGACATCTTTTGCAATGACCATTAATAAATCGCAGGGTCAAACCTTCAACGTTGCAGGCTTAGATTTGAGCGTTGACTGTTTTTCACATGGCCAACTGTATGTCGCTCTTTCAAGAGTAACCTCAAGAGAAAACATGTTTGTATTGTCTAATGACAAGAAAGCTGTGAACGTTGTATATAAAGACATTCTGTAATATATTAATTGTTGTTGTAAAAATAAAATAAATATGTAAAAATGCAAAAAGTAAATATGTTAAAATGTAGGGTATGAATTTAGATATTCAAAGATAGCAGGAAATCTTCATGGTATAAAGAAAGGGGAATTGTTTTACTCCAAATGTAACGCGTGCGGGCCACGGGCAGTAATGAATAAATCAAAACTACGGGATCGATTTTAATCATTTTTTCAGTGAGTGACATAGGCCTTATATTTTATTTCCGTGCGAAGCCGGGGCGGGTTGCTAGTTATTATTATAAATTACTATGTATCTAAATGTTCTATTCTCATTTGTCTGTAAGAAAACATTTTTCTGTAGACCAAGTAAATAAATAAATCAGACCAGCGTATATTAGTCTCAAATAAAAATGCACTAGCATGCTATAAATGGTACTTTTTGCAATCTGAACCTGCACAAAATAAATACACTCCCGAATTCACGTGTATTTCGTGCATTAGTGCGATGAATTTTTGGTGGACAAAAAAACGATTTTCGTTACCATTCGGTTTACCAATGATTTGGACAAATCCCGGAAAACACGAAGCTGAAAATTGTTATGCATGCACCAACAATACATTTGGTTTCAATCGAAAAAGTAAGTAAATTTAAATAAAACCATGAAATTATGTATAGTTTGCTCTCACCTTAATCGCTGAGTGTATGAAATAGGTAAAAGTTTCTGTATGTTTGGAAGGTACCACGCCTAAGTATAACCAACCTTGGAAAGTCTGCAGCAGATGTCCAAATTAAAAAAAAAAAATGGTGCAGAACATTTTCAGTTTTTGTCCGCCGAACAAACAAACTTAACATTTGTATATGGATGGCTGAGTGGAAGATCTACCTATCTCGGCAGCCCGTTCGAAAACGCCCTATCTCAGAAAACTTTTCAACAACGCCCTACTTCAGAATTTGATTGAAGAACGCACAATTTCAGAATTTTATTGAAAAACATCCTATGTCAGAATTTTGTTGAAGAACGCCCTATCTCAAAATACATTGAAAATATGCTGAGATAGGGCGTTTTTAAATCGGCAGCTGAGATAGGTCGATCTTCCACTCAGCCATCGATATATGCTTATATATGTACGTACATATACTCATAAATATTTAATTCAATAGATCGGTCGTGTCGTCTACAAAGGTGTACCGTGCGCTCATTTACCTGTTGCACATAGTGATGCATTACAAGTTCCAAATGATCCATCCGAACTCGAAACTGTCTATGATTGCAAACAGTCTATGGCAACGCCATTACCACTTGATGATGGATCTGATTACATTCCGATTGAAAACAATTTACCGTCTTTCATATCCCAAGAACACCTAAACAGCATGGTGCGTAAATTAAATCTCTCCCATAACGTGAAAAGCGTGAATGTTTTAGCACCAGGAGTAAAAGTAACGGCCTACAAACATAGACAAGATCCGTTTATACCATATTTCAAGTTATCGGAAGATGGCACTCAGGCTTATGGCATTGGTGTTGCAGGTTTCATGAATGAAATGGGAATTACTGACTATAAACCCGAACAATGGCGTCTCTTTATTGACGCATCAAAGCGAAGTTTGAAAGCAGTCTTGCTCTATCGCGATAGTAGCTAGAAACCCGTTCCAATCTTGTATGCGGTTGGAATAAAGGAATCATACGAAACAATGCAATTAATCTTAGATTGCATCAAGTACGAAGACCACAGGTGGCGCGTGAACTGTAATTTTAAAGTTCTCTCCCTACTATCAGGCATGCAAACGGGCTACACTAAATACTGTTGTTTGTTCTGTCATTAGAACCAAATGCAATCACTATACCAAATGTGATTGGCCAAAAAGAGAAGAACAATCGATTGGTCAATTCAATATAGTTCACGAGCCCTTGATCGTGACATAATGAGAAGCAGTCTTGCGGAAGCGTATGTCCCACAGATGTGGCGAAGGGCGCGAGTAATTTTCATCCCGAAAGTGGGTAAAAGAGACTACTCGCTAACGAAGTCGTTTAGACCAATAAGCTTAACCTCCTTCGTGTTAAAGGCAATGGAGAAGAATATACTCCTGCACACATGTCAGCATGCATACAGAGCAATTCCCACGACAGCCGGTTCTACGTACCGGAATGACTCGGGTTTTACCCGACCAAGGGCTGTTGTTTCGGCGATCTAACCCCGTTTAGGTCGGCGAAGTATCTCAGAAGTTGTCCGTCCATAGGGCTACATTCGCTACGTATTCTTCTACTCAGGGCTGGCATCGAGTCAAACCCAGGGCCAGAAACCTACACCTGCTGTGTATGCCGGAGACGATTACACCACAACTCCACCTCAGTCAAGTGTAATGCCTGCAAGGGGTGGAGTCACCTCAGAGTCTGCTCGGGACTACGGACACATAGACAGTGGACCACGTCGTACGTGGCCCCCTGTTGCTCATACAGAGCAGCCTCCACGGCTAACCACAGTCCGCCCGAGCAGCAACACAGTCACCACAACACAACAACATAATAACACCACAGACCGTACCACAGCCACGACAGACCACATAACACTCACAACCGCACCACCACCCACAACTCCTGGTTCCCCCTACATTCTGCACGGTATGTCAGACCAGGATATTCCGTAATGTGACATCAGTCAAGTGCAACACCTGCCTTGGCTGGTGCCACTTTAGGGCATGCTCAGGTCTGCGTACCACGCGAGATTGTACTGGGAACTTCGAGGGCCCGTGTTGCGCTTCTCGGTCGCAGACCCCAATTGCGACGCCCCCCGCCACCACCACAGGGCGGCAATCATCACAGCAGCACACACAGCCAACGGCGGCAAGAACACACACATCACTTACACCCCACATCACGACACGTCTCCCGAACCACATGAAGCTCCTTCAATTTAACTGCAACGGGCTACAGAGCAAGATTGAGGAGATAACCGTCTTCATGTGTCAGCATGGTATATTGATAGCTGCGGTCCAAGAGACGAAGTTGAATTGCGCCGGGTACAACGTGCACCGTCGAGGTCGCGAGCGAGATAATGGTGGTGGCTTAGCGTTCATCACGCACCACACCGTGCAGTATTGTCTAATCGAAGCAGACATCGACCGCAGGGATACCACCCTAGAATGTCAGGGCATCGCTATCCGGTCAGGCGATGTCGAGCTCGAAATATTTAACATATACATACCCCCTGTCACCTGCTGCCCGGCAGGATATCACCCTGATATAGGTGCGCTCCTCAGAGGTGAAAACCGTATGGTAGTAGGTGACTTTAATGCGCACCACGATCTTTGGCACTCAAGCCTGTCAAACGATCGTAGGGGAACAGACTTGGCTGAGCAGATAGACTATTCGACATTCTGCACAATGAACGACGACGCACCCACCAGGATTATGGGTAACTGCAGTAGCTCGCCAGACATCACAATAGTCAGCGCTGGTCTGATAAACAGCATAACATGGCGACCTATGCTGACTCTAGCATCAGACCACCTACCCATAGTCATCTCGATAGATAAACCAACCGACTTTGCCTCCGCCAAACACCGGACCTATATCAACTTTTCTAAAGCTGATTGGAAAGGTTACGTGGAGTTTACCGAAAACACCTTCACAGCGCTCCCCACACCAACCGACGTCCATCTCGGTGAACGTAAGTTCCGCAGGGCTGTCACTGCTGCTGCAGCTCGCTTCATACTGGCAGGATGTATATCGGACCCACGTCCAAACTTCCCTGCCGAAGCGGCTGTTCTAGCCGATGAGCGTGATAGCCTTCATCAGGCCGATCCCGGAGATCCCCGTATCAGGGATCTCAACGCGGAGATTCGGCAACTAGTAAACGTACATAAGCGGAAGAAGTGGGAGGAGAATCTGAAGACCTGTAATTTCACCTCTGGTGTGAGCAAGCTATGGTCAACCGTGAGGTCATTGTCTAATCCGACGAAGCACGGCGACAGAGTCGAAATTTCCTTCGGCAACCATGCCTCGTCGGGCCCGGAGCGATGCGCGAGCTATTTTAGCCGGCAGTTCATACTGCATCCTCAGGTGGACAAAGCCAAGCGTCGAGTGACCAGAAGGCTGCACAAACTGCCAACAACCTGTGCCCCCTTGCTTTCACTTGCGGTGAAGTTCAGGTGGCCATCGGGAAGGCGAAAGCCTCCAAAGCCATGGGTTCCGACGGAATATACATGCTGATGCTGAAAAATTTGGGTCCTGCGGGGGTAGCGTACCTAACGGAGGTCCTCAACTTGTCAATGGCCACTCTCATCATCCCAGACATCTGGAAGGTGGGGAGAGTGGTCCCACTGCTCAAACCTGCCAACAAAGGAGATTCTTATCATCCGATAACACTCCTTTCCCCGGTAGCGAAGACACTCGAGGCCTTGCTACTCCCGTACTTCACAAACCACCTGACCCCAGCGAAGCATCAGCATGGTTTCCGTAAAGTGCACAGTAAAACAACAGCACTTAACGCCATAAACACTCAGATAACTCGTGGCCTTAACCGAAACCGTCCCTGTGAGAGAACGATTCTAGTAGCGTTGGACTTGTCAAAGGCGTTTGACACCGTCTGCCATTCCACGCTACTAGCAGACATAGAGGCCTCCTCTCTCCCACAGAGGCTCAAACGGTGGTCGGCAAATTATCTGAGTGGTCGACATTCGTCTGTAATGTTTAGAGACAAAACGAGTAAACAGCGAAAAATAAAACAGGGGGTTCCTCAGGGTGGTGTCCTTTCCCCGCTACTGTTTAACTTTTACATTTCAAAGCTCCCTCAACCACCAGAGGGAGTCTCGATTGTCTCTTATGCCGACGATTCCTCGATCATGGCGACTGGGAATGGAATTGATGACCTGTGTTCGAAAGTAAACGGCTATCTCTCCGAACTTTCTCGCTTCTTCACTGCAAAGTGTCTAGCCCTCTCCCCTACGAAATCCTCCGCGACCCTGTTCACAACCTGGACGAAGGAGGTCAGGCTACCGCTGGGGATTCACG